GTTGGCCGGTGGATTGCCATAGCCTCGTAAAATTTGGAGCCGCGGCGCAGGCCTTACCCCATGAGGTAACGCTTTATGTCGTTTGAAGTCGTCACCTGGACTGTCTCCCTCGTGAATCTCTCGATGTAGTTCCTAAGAGGTTCGTCCTAGGCTTGGATGATCGCGCCCAGGGCGGCCTCCGTCGTTGGATGGCGCCGGGACACCGTGAAATATTGTGAGAAGAGATCCTTCAGGACCCTCCGCGACATGATGGACTCGGGCTCCAGGCTTTTGTACCAGGCCATGGCTCCCTTCCTCAGTGTCGTCAGGAAGAGCCTGCACTCGATGGCTCCTCGAACGTTTCAATAATCGAGCATGGCCTCGATATCTTCCAGATGGTCGTCTGGGTCTGTCGTGCCGTCGTAGGTGGAGAGCGCGGGCGGCTTCTCCATCTCGTGGGGGATGAGGGTCTCCATGATTTCCCGCGATAAGGGAGTCTGGTGGTCGTCCTCGTCACTGCGGACGGGGGAGCGTGAGGGAGAAGGATTGTGTCGAGTGACTTAATTACGACCCCTCGTCCTCTTACTCAGAGCCTTAGGCATATTCCTCCTCGAGGCCGGGGAGCGCCTCTCCTTCCGGAGAGGTGACCTGTCGCACTTCTTGGAGGCCATAGTTTAGGGCCTCTCCAATTGTGACTGGCGCCCCCGTTGACGGGGAGAGGGGCTCCGGGAATCCTCGCGCTGGGTTCTCCGCAGGGGAGAGCGAGATGAGGTATCCTGTTCCAGCATCCCGATCCGCTCGTTCTGCTGGAACAACATCAAACTGGTCTGGTTAATGGCTGCGAAGAGGGCAGTCATCGTCAGGTCCGCCCCTGTCAGTGTGGGTACGGGCTGGAAAACAGTCGGGCTTCTTGCCCGAGGGGCGACGTGGTGTGCCGCATCCTCGGATGAAGGGGAGACAATTTGCCCGTCTTTCACGTCACCATCACGAATGTGGGAGGGCCCAGTCTGGTCTTCACCGTTGGTGAGTGGGGCGAAAGCGGAATTATGGACAACATCGTCGTGGCGTGGTCTGGTCATGATCTCAAAAGTTGAAGTTGATAAAAGCGTTGGTTCTACTGCTCGGAAGAACGGGGAAGCTTGAGATTCCCATAGACGGCGCCACTGATCGTATATGATCAGAAGAGACTGCTGATTGGCCACGCGTCGTCAACTAATAGCTGTTCACCGGAGGTAGAGAGAAGGAGAGGGTGTACCTGCAAGACACTCGATACTTAAATGAGTAAAGGATCAGAGTGGGAGCAAATACATGAAAAGCTGTAAAAAAATGGAATACATGACCCTCTAGTGAAAGAGGGTATTTATAGTGAGACCCCAGCGCAGTGCCAACGGTCACTTGAGTTAGGCTAGATGGCCAAGCCTAACCCAAGTAACTGATAGGGCTTACGTGGCGTAGTGAAAACCAACACGTGGTCTTCACCATATATCAACTGTCCCGTGATCTCCGGAAGATGGGCTGACCATCTCTTTTGGAGGTGGGTAGTTGCCTGATGACGTGTCTCCGCGGGGGAGCACATGAAGATCGTGTGGTAGACGTGTGGTTCTGCCCGACATGGGAGGTGTCTGCACGGCGTATCCAGATTCGTGCCCGACATGGGGGATTTGGGCCTTGTTAGGCCTTCCCCACGTAATGTTGGGCTGGGCCTGCCCGACGGATGGGCAGGTCTGAACCTACTCCAAAATATATATATATATATATATATATATATATATATATATATATATATATATATATATATATATATATATATATATATATATATATATATATATATATATATATATATATATATATATATATATATATATATATATATATATATATATAATTTATAAGTAATAAACTAAAATATTGGTAAAATAATCACAAAATTTTGCCTTTAAAAAAATAATATTATCCATTAAAAATTAGTCAATAGAGAGAGGAAAAGAAAATCAAAGTTCATAAAACAAATATAACAAAAGATAATGAAATTCATAGAATAATGATATTTGGCCAAAGATAATTACATTTATATAGTAATTAAAATTCAAATATTGATTGAAAGATATTCTCAAGTATTCCATTAGTGTCAAATTATAAAAATTTTGGGGTGAGTAAAGTGGGTCAATTGGTATGTGACAGTGGAGTTAAATAGACATAAATTAATCTCGGATGAAAACATTTATTTATAATTATTTATCAATATAAACAACTTATTAACATTTATTCATGTAATATAGTAATTAATTTTACTTAGAACTGAGAAGAAGAAAAATTAAGTAGTTTATAAATTTAAGAATTTTTTTTTTGGAGTTTCAAGCAGAGAGTTTTAGAAAAAGAGAGAAAAATTGGGTGAACAAAATTGAGAAATTTAAGTAGGTTTGATTTCTGTGTGAAAATAATTAATTTAAAGTAAATTAATTATGTAAAATTGATTTTAACGCCTAAAAAAGAGTTGAATGTAAAATGATATACGTCCGGATAAATTTAAGAGAAAGTTTGTTGAATAATAAATTTTAATATAAAAGATCAAATTTAAATTCAAAAATTAAAAGAGAATCAATTATAAAAGCACAATCAATTCTAATTTAAAATAATCAAAGACCTTAAATCATTCCAAAATTTAGAATTATTTTTGAGCTTTTTAGAAACTAAACTAAAAATAAAATTATATTTATTCAAAAGTCAAAAGCCCCTTAATTTGAGGGAAATAGAAAATTATATCAACGGAGAGTTTTGGATGATTTTGAAGGATTTAAACAAATTGTTTAAATATAATATTTGTTGTTATATATTTTAAAAATTAAAATTGTTAATGAAAAATACCCTTTTATTAATTATTTTCAACAAATTCAAAAAAGAAACGATAATAAAATAAAATAGTATGATAAATAAATAAAAAATAATTTTTTATTTAAGTCTTTAAATAATTTATGAGAGAATTTATTTACAAAACTATTTATCTGTGTTCAACCTATCCCAGTAGAATTAGTACTATTTTAAATAGAAATGGGCAAAAATAAATGAAAAAACAGTATTGAGTTTGTAATAGGAAAAAAACAAAAATATCCATATCCATAGTAAATTAGCATTTATGGTTTACGTTTCCCAGTCAAAAATGGCAAACAGTGCTGACACAAATTCACCATATCTAAATCTACTCACCATTTTTCACCTAACCATTTAATTTTTTTAATGACAATTTCACCCTTCCCTCCACTGTTCACTCACTGCGTTCAATTCAACCAACGTAATAAATAATCACACTCTTTACACGCGTTATTTTAAACCGAGCTATGATTCAGTGTGGCCAGGATCACCTGTAACCTCTTATTCAAAATTAGTAGTTATTGTTACAATCTCCAACCTGGAACGCGTAGATCACCGTTAAAACAGACTAATCACAAAACAAGAACCGCGTGTTTAACAATTGGGTGGGTCCCATTCAATAAGTCATCGTTTTACCTCGATGTAATGGAATGAAATTTCCTTACTTCTAGACGTTGACATTCCCTTTCACTTTCATTTTTAATAATTTTAATTATTAGTAATTTTTTTTTATTCCACCTGTCTAAAAATCATTCTTAAAAAATTATTTGTTTATTTTTATCAATATTAATTTTATGTATAAAATACATCAATTTAATTTGGTAAAAAAAAATATAATAAAAATAATAATTTATTAGATTTATTTGAAATACACTGTCCGTTAATCATAACTGTTGGATGTTAAAAGAAGTTTGACTTTTATTTTAATCCTTAATAAAGTAATATTGACTGATGATGACGATGAATTGACAGTGTAAATTTTTTTATACTGATAGTATATAATAATTAATCTCTAACTTATTTATTCAATTAGATCGGAAGAGAACAACTCTTCAGTTAATTATACTTTCAAGAACATAAGTTCTAAAGAATAAACCCTAATTTTATAAAATTACTACTCGAATTTACAAAATTTTTACTAAGATTAATGTTAATATCTTTAGAAACTCTCTCTATCTTAAACTCTAAAGTTTATAATTGCCGAAATATAATAGATTCATAACAATTTTTTTTAGTTGAGTGAAAATTTTAATTATAAATGCAATTATTTTAAATGATATAAAATAATAAAATGTAATAAAAATATAACAATCACACATTTTTAAATATTCAAAGTGTGAAAAAAAAAAAAGTAAAAATCAATTAAAAAATCAAGTTAAAAAAGCTTAAAAAACCAATTATACAAAAATAATTTAAACACAAAATTTTTTTACATTGTAATTCAATAACAATATATCATTTTACTATGTCATATAATTAATTAAAAATTTTTAGTATGATTTGACGGAATACACCGTTGTCATTGATTTATAATATAAAAAATTATTAAATTTTTTTAAAATCTAATTTAAGACATGATTCATCTATAATAATAATAATAATAATATATAAAATGACGCGTGGTTTAATTGGTGCGTCACCAATGCATAGTTCCAAAGACAAAGATCTGTTTTGCGAAACAGCTCGTTCACCACCACCACCACCAATTTTTTTAAAAAACTTGCCACGTCACCATATCAGTATTTGTTTTTTTTTTTCTTTTTACCGAGTAGAGAGACACCAGTGAAACCAAACCTAAACAGTTCACAACACAACCAAAACACTTTTTCAAAATGACAATTATACCCTCAACTAATTTTCGTGGCTTTTTCTCATTGGCTCTTAAATAAAAACATTAACATTAACATTACAATTCATTTCCACCTTGTACAAACCCAAACCCAGAATATATTAAAGCAAACCGAAAAACCAAAATTGCCACAACATAGGAGCTCTGTCTTTCTCTCTCTCTGTCTTTCTCGTCCTAATTCAATTTTCTTTCTCTCTCTCTTCCATTCTTTCAAACCAACACGGTTCTGTGTGACACTGTTTTTGGAGGGTCTCTCTTTCTGGGACTCTCTGGGTTTCAAACGTCGTAGAAAAACATAAACATGAGTTGTTTTTGTTGTGTTGGAAAATCACGCCAAAAGAATCAAACAAACAATTCTAGCCGTAGAGAGAATCACACTAATATCACTTCACCTGGTATTTTTTTTTATCAATTATTAATATTTTCTTATGCATTTTTTTTCTGGGTAAAAAAATGAAAATTTTGATGTGGGTTTTTCTTAGATTGGTCAAAGGTTGCTTTTTTAAATTTGGGGTTTGTTTTCTATGATGCAAATTGTTGAAATTCTTGATCAGCGAAACATTCCCATTTTCTCTCTCTACGATGGGTTTTGAATATGAATGGATATTTTGATTATTTATTTATATATTCCTTTTCTGGGTTTTTTTTTCTTCTCCTCTTTCTATTGGCTGTTTGCATGCCTGATCAATGAATCAAATTGGGGTTTGTCATTTTGTGGTTTATCAGCTTTTGAATTTTGATGATTACTAGGATTGATTGATGTTTGTGACGTTTTGTTTGATTTTCATCCCTCACGTGTTGTTTGTTTTACATGGAATTTTGTTTGTTTTTATGCAGATAAGGTCAAAGTTGATTTGAATTTGACTGTGAATGATAAAAAGGAAGATGAATCTAAACATGATCAACTTTCCTTGGACGTGAAGAATTTGAATTTGAAAGACGGGGTTTCCCCCGATGGAAAAGTTGCAAAGACCTTTACTTTCGAAGAACTCGAAGCTGCAACAGGGAATTTTAGGTTAGATTGCTTTGTTGGTGAAGGAGGGTTTGGAAAGGTTTATAAGGGTCACATCGAGAGAATAAACCAGGTATGTTAAAAATTGTTTCTTTAAAGAAATTTAAGCGGAGGACTTTTGTAATGCCTTACACATTGTGTGAATTGGTTTGGTGTAGGTTGTTGCAATAAAGCAGCTCGACCCGAATGGTCTTCAAGGGATCAGGGAGTTTGTCGTTGAAGTGTTGACGCTTAGTTTGGCAGATCACCCAAATCTTGTCAAGCTATTAGGGTTTTGTGCCGAGGGAGAGCAGAGACTATTGGTTTATGAGTACATGCCGTTGGGATCTTTGGAGAATCATTTGCATGGTAAGCTATATGGTTACCCTAAATAATATTGAGAATCAATTTCAAAGCTTATGTTGTTGCTTTTACTTGTTCTGTCAGATCTTTCGGCCGGAAAAAAGCCGCTGGATTGGAATACAAGGATGAGAATAGCGGCTGGTGCGGCTCGAGGTTTGGAGTATTTGCATGATAAGATGAAGCCTCCTGTCATATACCGCGACCTCAAATGCTCCAACATTTTGTTAGGCGAAGATTATCATCCAAAGTTATCTGATTTCGGCTTGGCAAAAGTCGGCCCGATTGGTGACAAGACTCATGTTTCAACTAGAGTTATGGGCACCTATGGGTACTGTGCTCCGGATTATGCAATGACAGGCCAATTGACGTTCAAGTCTGATATTTACAGCTTTGGAGTTGTTCTTTTGGAGCTCATCACAGGCAGAAAGGCTATCGACCATAGGAAACCTGCTAAAGAACAAAACCTAGTTGCATGGGTATGTCCGATTATATATTACTGAACTATAACTCTGTTGCTGGAAAACATATCTGTTGTTTATGCTTGTTTTTTACAAGGATCGTTTATTGTGACAGAAATTTTTAGATGAATTTTCTTGCATGTTGTTAAACTGTAGCTTCGTACATATCCATTTTAGCACCGAACACATTATGTTTCATCGAGTAGTTAAATGATGATGAAAAGAAGCGTTTATTTTGAAGGTTGCTGATTCATTCTTACGGTATGCATGTATATTTGGTTGCAGGCAAGGCCGTTATTCAGAGACCGACGAAGATTCTCAGAGATGGTAGATCCATTGCTTGAAGGTCATTATCCAGTAAGGGGTTTGTACCAAGCTCTTGCTATTGCGGCAATGTGTGTTCAAGAGCAACCTAATATGCGTCCTGTAGTAGCTGACGTGGTTACGGCTCTAAATTACCTTGCTTCGCAAAAGTATGATCCGCAAACTCATCCAGTACAAAGACCGAGAAAAAGTTCATCTTCTTCAAGAGGTAGTAGCGCAGGTCATAGACGTGTTACTAGTAATGATTCCGAGTCAAACAGAATCGGAGATTAGAAAAGTGTGGAGTAATGTCTTGAGACAGTTTCCTCTTACATTGTAATGCTCCCAGTTATCAAGTTTTGCTTTATAGGAGATAACAGGTTCCTCTTAAAATCAAGAATTTCACAGAAAAATTCTTCCTTTTAGTTCCCTCTATCCTCTTTGTACATGTGAGATTACTATTTTGCATTGAAGATGCTTCTTAATAGGATTCTGGATTTGGTTCATTTCATAATGTTTAGCTTTAGCTACAAATATATATGACTTGTATGCTTTGTTTAATTTACATAGATGAGTAAACAAAACAAAAAAATAGTAGAAAAACATTACATTATCATGTGATATTCTGGTGTGTTCCTGATGCAACTATGAAATTGAAAAAAATTTAGTTTGATACTCCGTTTTCCAATCAAAAAGTTGATCAGAAACGAGATCAGGATACTGATGATCCATGTGAAAGCAATTTGCACCATGTTACAGCTACAATTCGGTAAATTCTCCCTCTCGACACACTCCCACCGATAAGTATAAAACTGAGGGCTTACGCGATGGGATAACTCTACAACAATCCCTCCTCGGCGACTGCAAAAACAAGTCAAATATTCACTTCATTATAAAATCATCCATTTTCAAACTTTTTTTCATATGAGATACTGTACCTTTTTCCAGCGCTGAGGATCTCGCCTTTTAGTGACAACAATGGAAGTAATTTTCTCAGGCGAAACCATTCTCCACCGGCAAAAAGGATTCTTAACTTTGTCGCGATTATAAACACCGACAGTTTGTTTTGCAGAAGAATCATAAGAAGTTTTAGTCACGTAATATATAAAGGGCTTTTGACATGGATGTTTAGCAACAGGCCTTGTGTTGAAAGCATAAGCAGTATAATCAGCTCTTTTATACCAATTCAAAAATGTTCTTGATGGCATTTCTATTTCTCTAGGGGACAAAATTCCTCTTATAACTTGAACCATGTATCCCCAAGAAACTGATATTGACCAAAACCTGGTTTTGTCATAGCATATTGATTGTTGCATTATGCTTGCCGAGTCTTGGTTGACTGATTCCATCAAGTGTCTTATGGATTGCACTCTTGACATTCTTGGGAATATTGGTTGTACTACATCAAGATGGTGTAGTGATACTAATGGAGCCACTGGATGTGCACCTAGAAGGCCTAATAGATCTCCATACACATCATACTGCATAAGAAAAACCCAAGATAATCAAAATTCCAGAAAGAAAAATCCAAGATAATCAAAATTCCACACTATTACGTAAATATGATAACTATGAAGCACAATGCCAGACACATTACTATACTGATATTGATACGTCGACATTCGTAATTAGAAGTGACACGTCGACATTCGTAATAAGAAGTGTCGATGGTGTCTATGCTAGAGTATGATAATAAGAGGATATATATCAGAAGGGTCGATGGTGTCTGTGCTAGTGTATAATAATAAGGGGATATATAACTTTTCGTTTGAGATTGAATGATCACGAATCTATTGACTACCGATTGAGATTGGATGATCAGGAATCTCTTGATTACTTAAATGCGTTGCACAAATAGAAAACACATGAGATTTGATTACAAAGTTCGATCAATTATACCTATGTCTACCTACGACAGCGGAGCGTTCTAAAGAACTTGCTAGCTCGAATGATCTATTCACTTATATGTAAACTATAAGACATCATCACATACAAAATCTGTAATAATTTACCTGGTGAAATCCAGCTTCCTTTGTGAGTGGCACACCTAACTCCGCCATACATGCTTGAATTCTATCATCACTACCATACAAAGCAGGGTACCTCTGAATACAACGATCTTGTACCTTAGACAACTCCAAAGCCAATGGATAACTTATAGCAAATCCACCTCCACCGTATGCCATAGCATATGAAAAATGTATATTCTGAACATGGCTCTCAGAAGAACTTCCAACATAATAAAAATATCTATGATCATACTTTGAAAGAATTCTAACAACATTCTCAACAACAAAAACAGTATCATCATCTCCCATAACAAACCATCTCACATCTTTCATTCCAAGCTTCAATGTTTCTGTCACAATCCTTGATATCCTCAATGCTGATCTTTGTCCCTGTCGATTCGTATATCGAAATCTAGAAGTGTCTCCAGATATTCGAATCTCGGGTAACCCTTCGTTTGCTCGCGTACTAACTCTTCTATCTAACCAAACAACACCTCTTGTTTCTTTCGGCCTCCACCATGTTTTTATGTATTCTTTTCTCGTATTCCATAAAGTCGACGAAGCGGCTATCCCAAAAACAATGTGTTTCAGCTTAGTTTCTTCTCTTTTAGCCATTTGTTGAGGCGTTAACCGAACTACAATAGGCGATTTATTTCCTTCTTGTTCTTCGTCGCCACGAGAATCTTCTTCTTCTTCTTCATCTTGTTCTTGTTCTTGTTCCGGTTCACGTTCTCTTTCTGTTTCATCGTCCATTTGATCTTTGTTTACTATCGGTAAAACTTTGTGTTCCATGTTTGTATCCGAAGTCGAGGACATATTGTAACTAGTGATTTGAACATGTTCTTGTGTGGTGTCATCTAAAGTGGTTGTTGTTGGTATACAATCTTGTTGGTCATTGTTGAAGAAAACAAGGTTGAAAGAATAAAGAATGTATATAACAATTGTGATTAAGATCAACCAAGTTGTTATGCTTCTTGAGCCATTATGGATCATGCGTTGATGAGAAGGATAGTGCATTTGGTTAATCTTTTTTGTTAGTTTTGGTCTTCAAATATTGTTTCAGATTAATCGTTGCATCAGAGAATTTTGTGTTCTTGTTGTATGAATTAAATGGTAGTGGTGGGAAGGTTCATTCTGGCTCAGAATTGTTCGGATCACAGAAACTTAAGAGAGAGAAAGACAGTGTATGTGTGTGTGAATCTTAATAACTGGTTTTGTTTTGGTTCCAAAAAATGATGTTTGTTATGGTAGGAAGCGAAGTTGAATGCGGTTTAAATGGATGTTTGGTTGCCAATTATGTCAATGTAGCACGGTATTTGGATATATGATGACTTTATTTAATTAATTTTATAATAATACATGTTAAAAACTAATGTAAATTAATAATTTAAAATTTATGAAAATACTTTTCGTGAAAAATAGAAATGTTTAACACATTTTATGTACAAGACTAATATAATAATAATTGTAAAAATAAATTATTCAAGAGTTATTTAATTAGGCAATCTGGTAGATCTAAAAGTATTTTGTGACCTAAAACTTGTTGCTTTTAAGTTTAAACGTCTTTTAAAAGTCTAAATCTTATCTTTTCAATTTCAAATATTTTTAAAGAATTCATATAGATTTTGTTTGTTTGTTTTGATTTAAGTAAAGATCCTTTAAAAATATTGTTAGTCTTTGAATTTTGATATAGTATTTCGATAATAAATGTGTGATATGAAGGTATGAGATTGTTAAGAAAAAAAAATTTGACTATGATAATTTTTGTTGCGATGAGAATAGGATATCAAATTATTAATTAATTTGAATCATATCTTTAGTTCACAATCGGTCTTTGATTTATCCGAAGGAAAGGTCAAAGGAAGAAAAAACCTAATTTTGCATCGCAACCGCAATGCGGAGAGAAATCTAGGTAAGGGGTTGGTTAAGCTTAGAGAATGTATTAGCACCCTAAACTTCGGTAGTACTCTACAAGAATCTTTTGTTTAAAGTATACTATTTTGCTTGATTATCTGCTTGAGAAGAGTATATTGCTAAGGGTTAAAAGTGACAAAGAGACCTAAGGGTTAGTCCTAAGTTTACTCGCCAAGACTCGCATCTTGTGCCTACCTATCCGAGGTAGGGGTTGGAATCAGAGTAATCGTAGTTCCCCTCGAAAGGAAGGAAGAGAAACTTCTTGGCTGTGGTCAAGGTTTCAATGGAGAATAAGTGTTCTTACGGAAGCGCTTACGTGGAGTGCGGCGACTCATATTTCTACGTTGAAATTTGAATTGAAATAAAAGGATAAACTAAGTATTCCACGGCGGGAAACCTAATCCGGAGTGCGGCGACTCCTTAACCTAATGCTAGGGTAAAGGGTAATTCGGTCCACGGCGGAACGCCTAGGCAATTAGGGTTTTGAAATGGTCAAAGGTTAGGACTATTGACTCGGCGGTCAAACAACTAGATCTAATCATTCAGAGGGAATTTAACGGTGAATAATGCAAAATAATTAAACGACAGTATGAAAATAACGGGAAAGTACGAAAACATTAAAGGAATTGCAAAGCGACGATGTACTCGCATAAATTACAAACCCAAAAAATGCAAGAATAATAACGAAATAAAAGCGACGATATCCTCGCATAAATTACAACCGAAAAAATGAAATACGGACAAATATGAGATTAGTAAACAAGGACCAAATTGAAAATAATGCTAGGACTTAAATTATAATTAGACGAAAGTTCGACGGAAATGTCAAGAACTTTTATTTTAGAATTTGTAGGCCAGAAATTAGAATGAAAGTGTTAACAATTTTAGAACTAAACGAAGGTGATTTTAATTTTAATGTTTTTAGAAAAAGTTAGTAATTTATTTAAAAACTGATTTTAATTTTAGAGAAAACGTTCATTTTATTTAATTTTGTTAAAGAAAAGTTAGAAATTTCTTTCTTAATAAAAGTTAATTTTTTTTAAACAAATATTAATTTAAAGGGGATTATTTCTAAAAAGGTTAATATAAAGCAAATTAAACTATTTTCTAATGTATCTTAACAGAACCTTAATTAAATAAATTAAACTAATAAGAAATTATAAAAGAAAAGAATAATATAAAGCAAAATCTTAAAAAAGGGTTTTAACATCCATTTTTTTTATTAGGATTCTCTTAAAATGATTTTTATTATTAAGATTAAATATGATTTTGACTAATCAATAACTAAATAAAAATAAAATAATAGAAAATGTAAAAGAAACAAATATAAGGAGAAGGGGTCAAGGCTGAGTTTTCTCCGTTAGGGTTCTC